CCCCAAAACCCCAAAACCCCAAAACCCCTTAAAGCATTTCCAATGTTGAAAATTATCTCAGTTTAGTAGGTTTTGGTTGAATCCACTGGTAAAACATCTGATTGCTGGTAGTAAGATCTGGTTTGGTAACCCCCATAAATACACCATGTTTTGGTAGAAGGCTCTGCTGATTGTTAAATCCCACGCTGAATCCTTTTGGCCTTGCACTCATTGAAGTAGAACTTCTCTTGCCAGGTTTAGTTAAGTAAGCACTCTGAAATTTCTGATTTCCTAGACTCAAATGAGAACTTCTCAGGTCCTTCATCATATCATTAATTCCTTTTATTTGATCTTTGTCTGCTGGTTTTGCTGTGCTAACCTTCTCTGGTTTGTTGTGGTTATTAGTTTTATCTAAAATTTATATCTAAGAGAACCTACAGTGGCCAAACAGATTACTAGGATTCATCTTGGACTTTATTTTTCTCTTATCCACACTTCTATCAGCTCTTTGCCACTTTTCATTGAAAATAAACTTATCTTTGGTCTCAGATTTGTTCGACTGAGGTATGTCTAAATTCATATTATTTTTGAAGGTTCTTGGATCCTTAAATTACCTTTTGGGATATACAGGTGAGAATGGGTCTTATTCACCTTGGTTAGACTCTGCTTCTCAGTTGCAACAGCAGGCTTGTAAGAAGTCTCCATCTTAGTTTCATGAAGCTTTCCTCTGAAGACATTGGAATCCCTCATTCTTTTGTTGCTCATTTCAATCATTTTCTGATTTTCAGCTTTTTCTTCCATAGATGGCTTCCCAGAATGATGGTTGACTTGGTATCAGCTCTTAAGTTTGCCAGGAACTGTACTGCCTATCTTTATACTAGAGATGGAGTTGAGTTTTCCCTTGCTAGAAATGATTAAGGCAACACTTACCTAGCAATTTGTCAATTGTCAAGCGACAGCTTCATGAAATCAGTCTCTTGGATTGGGATATTCCTGTGCTTGTTTTTAAACTCGTTATCTTTGCCGAGTGTGATATTACTTTTCCGAAATTCTTGTAACAACTTCTTGGTATCCTTTGAGGTAGAGCTGAATTTGTTCCTTCTTTGGTCAAATTTCACATTTTTCCTCTTCATCACTTCTTCAATTTTCCCAAGAATTTTTAGCCGTTGCTGATGTTGTTGCCCAATAATAGATTGGTGGGCAGCCATAGGTGGACTCTGACTTCTTCCAACAGGGGCATCTAGCTTTTTATAACTTTCTGAGTTCATGGTGGTGTACACAGTCTTTGAGTTTCCAAGAGAGAAATTATGAGCATTATCCTTAGCCATTCCTTTCTTCACTCTTTGTAATTTTTGGGTTTCTTGTGTGATATTGTATTCTTTCGAAGATAATTCATAATTTGTATCCCCAAATCCAACCTTAAATGAAGTTTGTAGCAGCTGATCCCTGTTGAAAACTGGTCTAGGCTGAGAAGTATTCTTCTTATCTCCTGCCATCACATTGTGATAGAACTGCTGAGTAGTTTGAGTATTCGGAGAGCGATCAAACCCTAATTCAAAATTGGTTTTCCTCTTTTTATGACAAAATTTCGATGATCCTTTCTTGCTAGAATCAAGTTGATGTTCTGGATAAAGTTCTTTATTACAAGACTTCATATCTCTAGTCTTATCAGCACCTAAACACATCAAACTCTAATTTTACCAAATTTAAAATGTGTGTTGTTATTCTTCAGCCACTACAAGTTTTCTCTCTTCTGTTGGTACATAATTCCCAATCTTCTGTGTCTCCGCTCCATATCCCAGCTGGGGCTGGGACAAGGACCCAGAGGTTCCCCTAAGCTTGAAGAATCCAATAGATGCAGGTCTTTTAACAAAAAGTTGTTTTTTCTTATTCCCCATTATATTTTATTTCAATTATGAAATATTTTCTCGGGGTTTTGGGGTTTTGGGGTTTTGGGGTTTTGGGG